TAAGAGGCTCCTCTGTCCTCCACTCGTTACCTGTAGTAATGGCACCTGTTTGACCTTATCATCAGTATAAAAGACACCTGTCCATAACCTCAAACAGTCACACTCTGAAGTCCACTATGGTCAAGATCAAAGAGCTGTTGAAGGATACCAGAAACAAAATTGTAGACCTGCACCAGGCTGGGAAGACTGAATCTGCAATAGGCAAGCAGCTTGGTGTGAAGAAATCAACTGTGGGAGCAATAATTAGAAAATGGAAGACATACAAGACCACTCAATACTTTGTTATATATCCTTTGTTGGCAATGACAGAGGTCAAACGTTTTCTGTAAGTCTTCACAAGGTTTTCACACCCTGTTGCTGGTTCAATACTTTGTTATATATCCTTTGTTGGCAATGACAGAGGTCAAACGTTTTCTGTAAGTCTTCACAAGGTTTTCACACCCTGTTGCTGGTAGATGTCTGGCTCTCACAGACTTGTAACTACTTCTTTAAGAGGCTCCTCTGTCCTCCACTCGTTACCTGTAGTAATGGCACCTGTTTGACCTTATCATCAGTATAAAAGACACCTGTCCATAACCTCAAACAGTCACACTCTGAAGTCCACTATGGTCAAGATCAAAGAGCTGTTGAAGGATACCAGAAACAAAATTGTAGACCTGCACCAGGCTGGGAAGACTGAATCTGCAATAGGCAAGCAGCTTGGTGTGAAGAAATCAACTGTGGGAGCAATAATTAGAAAATGGAAGACATACAAGACCACTGATAATCTCCCTTGATCTGGGGCTCCATGCAAGATCTCACCCTGTGGGGTCAAAATGATCACAAGAACGGTGAGCAAAAATCCCAGAACCACACAGGGGGACCTAGTGAATGACCTGCAGAGAGCCTTTAAAAATCAGACAATGTGATTTTCTGGATTTTTTTTCTCATTTTGTCTCTCATAGTTGAGGTATGCCTATGATGAAAATTACAGGCCTCTCTCATCTTTTTAAGTGGGAGAACTTGCACAATTGGTGGCTGACTAAATACTTTTTTGCCCCGCTGTACTGTACTAAGAAGAGACAAGTTAGAAGCCATTGTCCAGAGGAAGGTAAATATATCCAAGAACAGTTCATGGTCCCTGATTCCAAATGTGAGAGTGTAAGACAAGTTAAAATGAATGCTGTTTCCAGCAAATGTCTCAGCTTCTGATATTCCCTTATACAGCTGGAAGTAACTGTGATTTTGATTCCCAAGGTGGTCACTTCTCCCAGGGAGCCTGACCCTGCAAGCCGGCACTCTTTTGCCATTAGCCTTTTCTGCATGTGGTAGCAGCAGTAGTTAGGGCTCAAAAGCTGTGGATCAGAGAAAGGGGCTACCAGGACTCCCTGCTGAGGGCTCAAAGGGAGTGGATCAATGCCTGAAGATATAACAGGAACTGATTCTGCTTCAGCTTCTACCCCTGCAACTAGGGCTTCTCATTTTCATCCCTGATGTCTCATTCTCCTCCAAGGAAGAATCCAGGGCAGAGATGACACCCTCTTATTAAAATTATGAGTAGACCTACCCCATCAATATCTGAAGAATTTAAGGTGGAGACCAGGAAGGGTCCTCTTTGCTATCAGTGCTTCAGGCTTTGGAATTAACACCCCCAGAAACTCCTGTCCCCTCTTTAATGGCATTTCCCCTACAGCAAAAACAAAGACAAAAAAACCCAAAAGGTATATAGGAAAGCCTTTGAACCAGAGTGCTGTTTAGGTTGTCTCTCTGTTTGAATTTGAAAGATAACTAATATTAATTTTTAGTGTGTTTTGATTTTTTTGGCTTCTAATTAAGACTGCGCTTTTGCTATGCTCTATTAGCTGGCTGGATTTTTAAACTTTTTTTCCATTTTTGTCTTTGCTACTTTTGGTAAGTTTGCCTTTTTTAGTTCACTTTTAAGGAAAGGTTGGGTTTTTACAGTTAAAAATAAATACATCTGTGCTCGTATTTGCAGAGGATAATAGACAAATTGTAAGAT